TAATCATCAGGGAAATGCAGATTAAAACCACAGTGAACTATCACCTTACCCCTGTCAGAATGGCTTTTATTAAAAAGTCCAAAAACAGTAGATGCTGGTATGGATGCAGAGAGAAAGGAATGCTTATCCACTGTTGGTAGGACTGTAAATTAGTACAACCTCTATGGAAAACAGTATGGAGATTCCTCAAAGAACTAAAAGTAGATCTACCCTTTGATCTAGCAATCCCATTACTGGGTATTTACCCAAAGAAAAAGGAGTCATTTTATCAAAAAGACACCTGCAGTCAAATGTTTATTTCAGCACAATTCACAATTACAATGCTATGGAATCATCCCAAGTGCCCATTAATGCATGCATGGATTAACAAAATGTGGTATATATATACCGTGGAGTACTATTCAGCCATAAAAAGGATGAATTAATGCTTTTTGCAGCAATTTGGATGGAACTGGAGACCATTAATCTAAGTGAAGTATCTAAAGAATGGAAAAACAAACACCACATGTATTCACTGCTATAATGGAACTAACTGATGAGCACACACGTACATAAAGGGAAGTAAAACTCAGTGGAAATCAACCAGGGAGGAGGGGAGAGGAGGGGATGGGCCAATACCTACCTAACGGGTACAGTGAACAATATCTTGGTGATGGGGACTCTTATAACCATGACTCAAGTATTATAAAAGTGATTCATGTAACCAAAATTATTTGTACCCCATAATACTTTGAAATAAAAAAAGAATTAGACAATCTCTATCATGTAATCCATAATTAATTAATGGTTCTAGATATTGAGCATTAGTGGCAGCAAAAATTTCAGAAGGAGGCTCAACCCAACAGTGTATGTTTCCTGATTGGAGAACACACCACCACAATGAAGTCGTCTTAGGAAAAACAAACAATCCTGAATCTTATATCTGATAAAGCCTCTGATCAACTATAGCAAATACGAAGAACAGAGGACAGCGGAACATATTAAATTACACTAAGAGGAAAAAGTCAGCAAAATCCAACATAGGAATTCTACATGTAAATTTACATGTTTCCTCAAGAAATAAATTGCAAGGAGGGAAAGTGGATGGAGGGGGAAGCTGATAGATTAAAAGACAGTCAAAGGACATAACTTAATAGCTAAAACTAAAGTATAGCATTTAAGGATATTCTCTTGGGTGATTCAACAATACAGGAAGATAGAGCTAAACGGTCCAATCCTGGAGCACTCCAGCATCTAAAGATGGATAGAGGTGGAGGAGTCAGCAAAGGAGATCAACGTGCGACCAAAGCAGCAGGAGATAAAGCAAGTGTCATAGAAGCCAAGAGCAGAGCATTCTCTAAGATTGGGTAGTTGTCAACTGAATCAAATGCTGCCATGAAGTTAGCAAGGTGAAGACAGAGAAGTGGTCATCAGGTTTGCCAATAAGCAGTTCTTTGGTGACCTTGCTAAGAGCAGTGTCAGTGAGGGTGAGGACAAAGCTAAATCAGAATGAGTGACAGTAACTGGAAGATTAGAAGAGACATCTAATATCTACAGGCAATTCTTTAAAGAAGTGTGTTTGACAAGAGAAGCCAAGGAATAGCCTGGTAGCTAGAGGAAAATATGGGGTTAAGGGAGATTTCTTTTTAAAGTGGAATATATTTCAGCATGTTTGTATGCTGGAGGAGAGCTTTAAGAAATAGGAAAGAAATCAAAATAAAAATAGAAATTCTTGTGGAGTTGAGATGGAATGAAACCCAAAACATACATGGAAACACTGGTCTCTGATAGAGGGAGAGCTGCTCTCTCTGCCAGAAGAGGCAAAAGTTAAATGCAGACTTGGATGTATTTGCAGATTTGGTGGTGGGGAGGTAAGGGATTTCCATCAGATCGATTACATTCTTTCAGTTTGAGACAAGCCCATCATCATCAAAGATGTGGAGCTCAATCAGGATATCCCATTTATTAACCATGGGGTGGAGGGTGGTGGTTTTCAATCTTTTCTTGGATCATTACCCACTAAGAAATAATACATTTCTTATGACCCACTATACACACACATGGATAAATGAAATCAAATTTCATGGCCCAGTGCTTGCTTACTCCTATTAGGTATATACTCTTTTCTTTCCTTTTCAAGACCACTAGGCAAACTAGACTGGTGAAAGTCACGACCTTCTGAAGCAGGGCACAAGCTTAGGAAGGAGAAAAATAAAGGAGCCCTATCCCATGTCAGGGTAAATATGACTCCTAAGCAGGAGCTAGCCTTCTTATCTCAGAAATTCACATAAATTGGGGATATTAAATTAGAAACTGGCTAAAAAGATTGTTTCTGATGCACTTGTATAGTAAAAAATTATGTTTCTCATAATTTGCTTTCTTAATGTTTTTTCTTCATTTTATTGGGAATTTATAGCATTGACATATAAGAGTATAAAAACACTTATGTACACTTTAAAGAATAATTAGAAACATCATTTAATATAATTACTACCCTGGTTAAATGGTAAAATATTAATATTTACAGTAACTTGGAAGCCCCCAGCTCCGTTTACCTTCCTATCTCCTAAAGGTAATCATCCTTAATTTTACTTTTAATCATTTTCTTGTTTTTCTCTATTATTTTGCCACTTTTGCATGTATCCCTAAATAATATAGATTAGTTTGGCCTGCTTTTGTACTTTAGATAAATGAAATACAAAAGAGTATGTGTGCTTTTGCATCTGGTTCCTTTCAACTGTGGATGTCCGTGATGACATTTTATTCATTTTTATTGTTGTATGCAAGTCCATATATGAATGTACCATGATGTTTATATTTATTTACTGTTGATGAACATTTGGCTTGTTTTCATTTGGGAATCCCAGTTTATGTCCCCTTATACACGTACGCAGGAGCTTCTCAAGACCATCTATCTATCTAGCAGTAAAATAGTTGGATCAATGGGTATGAGTGCTTTCAGCCTCACCAGGTAAGTCCGAACTTTTCCAATTTACACGCCCACCACCAGTACATGCTTCCCATTGGTCTATATCATCACTACCTGATATTGTTAGATTTCTTGATATTGTTGCCAGTCTGGTGGGTATGTATTGAGATTTCACTGGGGGATTTAATTGGTATTTCCATATTTTCATACTTTTTTTAGCCACTTAGATTTCAGATTTTTTTTTAAGAGACAGAGTCATGCTCTGTCACCCAGGCTAGAGCACAGGGGCACAATCATAGCTTACTGCAGCCTCAAACGCCTGGGCTCAAGCGATCATCTTGCCTCAGCCTCCCAAGTAGCTAGGTCTATAGGTGTGTGCCACCACCCCTGGCTAATTTTTCTTATTCTTTGTAGAGATGGGGTCTTGCTATGTTGGTCAAGCTGGTTCAGATTTCTTTATTCTATATTTTTTCATTTGAAAAATCCTGGTCAAACTTACTAAATTAATTTAATAACTCAAGTTTGAAAACAACTGATCTAGAGCATATTATTTTACCTTTCTGAAGCTATCTTCTTATCTGCAAAATGGGGATGACAGTCTCAAAAAGTTGTTATGATGGTCAGATAAGACATATGTAAATCACATATGTGGTGCTAACTACACAGTTTGTGCTCAATGAATGATAACTCTTATTAATACTATTTTTTAAAAAAGAGAAAATGAATGTGGTCTGAGTCTGGGCATAACCAACAGCTAGGCTGCTGCCCAAATCTCAACTAATGGTTTTCATCAAAACCACAACATACCAACTGTATTGTTCTCAAAATGGTGGTACTACCACCTTCTGTGCTATAACCAACTTCTAGTCTTTATTGGAAAAGCATAAAAGAGATGATATGCAGTTGGAATTGGTGCACGATCCCCTGGACATCAGTATGGACTCTGAGCAGCACCAACATCTTGCTGTGTCAAGAGGATGTGCTCTGACATGGCTTTCATGGGTCTGTGGTCTGAGGCTTCACATCAAGCAAGCTGAGGGCCCATAAAGGAACATTGTGACCCAGGGAGACACCCTCAGGATAAACACCAGTTCTCACCACTCCCTGACTCTTGTTAAAGACTCCTTTGCCTCTTTTTATGAGATGTTATGATGATGCAGCTGGAAGGGTATTAGAATGAATTTTGGAATGTAGATAAGGGTTCTGCCCATAGAATCTGCAAAGATTGACTTTGATGGGCTTTACTTCTTGTATTACTTATTCCCATGACATTGGGGACAATCATGAGCCAAAGATGCCACCAGTCAGACAGGTCTTTGTCTTTTTTGTTATTCCAGTAACTACATGGACACTGCGACCCCTGGGAAATGGCAGGAGTGGCAATAGAGAGAAAAAGGGAGGTAGTCTTCTTAACAGTAACAATGGCAACTTTTAACAACATTGACTTGCTATTCTGATTGAATAACTGCTTTTTAGACATAGTCAAAAATTTATGTTTGAGTTTTATTTGAAATGCTCCTTTTCTATAAAATCATATAAATATTTAATAGATAATTTGGAACTTTTGGCAGCATTCCAAGTATTATACATTTTTAAATATTCCTTCTAAACAATCACACAAATACATATTTTTTTCAAACCAAAACAGATATTTCCCTGCTTGAAATACTATTTCTAATTTCTAATTTATTCTTAAGGGCTAATTTGCAAAATGAAATTGTTTGGATGATTGGTTTGCAGTAAACATGGTCTACCAAATTGGTTTCTAAATTTAGAGAAATGTTGAGTATCCTCTTATAATAATCAAGAAATAATAGAAATATTAATGATAATGAAGCTTCCATAATTAAAAAGTCAAATTCTGAAATAACAAGCAGAAATGAACATTAGCAGGTAGTAGCTACATAATTTATAATTCTCATGAATGGTTATTTTGAGCTATTTTCATGGGATAACATGACCTTCCACATATAGTTTACTAAGGGATGGTGTATGTATGATATGAAGTTCCATAATCATGAGGAATTTGATATTATTAGATATAACATAAAGATACAGGAAATAGTGCATAAAATTCTGGGAATCATAAAAAGAAAGGCAAAGTTGTTTTAATAGATGCTACAATTTCTATGTCTGATATTTTAAAAAATTTTTGAAAGTAGTAATTATTATTATCCATATAAATGTTTTCAAAGAAAAAAATTTGTTCACAAATTTTGAGGATGAGTTCTATATTTTAAATACAGAAGACTCCATGTCCTTTCTCGGAGGTTTTTGAGGACTGATTTTTGGTAACATCTCTCTGGCATAAAATGTTTTATGAAGTCCAGCTTTTCGAAGCGCTAACTCAAAGCGAATTCTGGGGTCAGAAATTATCTGTAGAAATAAAACACAATTTAAATAAACAGTAATTTCTTGAATTAAAGTAAATTTTAATATCCAGTTTTACATTTTCCCAAGTTACATAAATTGTTTTTGCTGAATAGATGACTAGATGATAATAAACTTTGTGAATACAGTGACTGTATTCTAGTTCCTTTTATTGAACATGTCCAAATCTTTATCTTTTTATTTTTTATTTTTTTGGTTTTTTTTATTTTTGAGACAGAATCTTGGTCTGTTGTCCAGGCTAGAGTGCAGTAGCATCATCACAGCTCACTGCAACCTGAAACTCCTGGGCTCAAGCGATCCTCCTGCCTTGGCCTCCCTAGTAACCAGTACTATAGGTGCCAGCTAACTTTTCTATTTTTTGTAGAGACAGGGTCTTGCTATGTTGCTCAGCCTGGTCTTGAACTCTTGGACTCAAGTGATCCACCTTGGCCTCCCAAAGTGCTAGGATTATAGGCATGAGCCACTACACCTAGCCACTCAAACTTTTTTTGACTTTATCCCTTTCTAGTATGTCAGTGGTTTCCAACATGGGATGTATAGAATACTGTACACTGGATTAGTCGAAATAGAATACATTAAAACATATTATTAAAAGATAGGTAAAAGAAGCTTACTTTCTGTACTATAATATCATTGATTCATTATTTATTGCTGGCTTGAATAATACAGACAATCATTGATTAAAATAAATCTAAGCCACAACCTTGTACATCTGTCTTTAAACAGACATTTAATTTCTTCATAATTTGGAAATATGTAAATTAAGTTTAAACACATGGCCACTACTTGAAAAACAAAATCAATACAACCTTTTGTTCAAGGCTGGATTTCTATTTCAAACAGAACCAGAAAATGCCCCCATCAAGCTGATTCTAAGTGGGAGTAGACATGTGAGTAGTTCAATTTCTGGTTTAATTTATAGCTGATAGGATCTTATTCATCATCCACTACTTCTAAGAATATTAAATGTCAACAGACACTATTTGCAATGATAAGAAGGTAGCCACACATGGATTTTACCTAATGAGGCATTTTACACAGACTTGAAGTCCCCCTAGAGGATGCGATAATAAGCTAGAGAAAGCAGTCCCTCCTTCAAGGAGTTCTTAAACGAATGGGGGTAATAAGAATGTACACACATAACTACAGTTCATGGCAACATGTGGCAGATACCCTAAGAGTAGTAAAACATGGAGGTACATCTCCTGGTGCTGGTGGGATAAAAATGGTATTCTCAGGTAAGGAGAAGCAATTGAACTAACCTTAAAGTATAATTTATTCTGTAAAGCAAAGGGAGGAGGAAGAGAGCTCTAACAAGAAAGGAAGACACATACAAACTAGAGGTGAAACAGGTCAATTTGGGATAAGGGTAGTTTGGGTGGAGCACTGACTACCATTGAGGAACACTGGAAAAGCACACTTCTCAGACTGGGACCTGCATTTAAAAGGCTTACAAGGCCATGCCAAGGAGTCTAAGGAGCTACAGGGGTTGTGCTTCTGTTTTTAGCACGGAAGTGATATAATCATTGTAGATGCATAGGAAAATGGACTTGATTATCAGTTCAGAATAAATTAAGGTAGCAGGGAAAGAAGAGATGGAGGCAAGGAGAGTAGTTATGAGTTTACTATGATCGTCTAGACATGAGGTAATAAATGCCTGAACTTGCCTGGTAACAAGGAAGAGGTAACTGTCGGAAACATTATTAAAGGAAGAATCAACAGAATGTGACAGCTGATCAAATACAGGCCTAGGGGCAATGATGAGTATGAAGTCAAGAATAATGCAGAGATTTGTGTCTGAGAAGCAATGAAATTAAGCCTTTCTCCCCTTCTGCCTCAATGTATTCTCCCTGGTCACTCTCGCTCATTCCCAAGGACTCATGTTCAACTCGTGCACTATTGACTCCCAAGTCATTTCCAGGAATTCACCCCTCTCCTTGCTCCGGGTTGTGAGGTTCAACATTTTTTCATTATTCTGGTTTTGAATAGATAGCAAGTGAAATGGAGACCTCCATCTCCCCAGTTTTCCTCCCTAGATACAGCCAGTTTTTTGCAAACGTGTACCAGACATCTTCACCCTACACATGACATGAGTAGAACAAATTTTCTGTCTCCCCAAGTCTGTTTTTCCTACCATATTCTTATATGGTTAACACACTGACTACCACACTAGGAAAAAAAATTTCCTTGGGGCCACAGTGTTTTATTACGAAAACAGAATAAAAACTTCAAAAACAAATGATCTTTTCTAATTTAATGAAAAATTTGTTATTGACTTCAATTCATTTAATTCATGTTTTTAGAATTAAATTGTCAATATTAATTGTAACAATAAAAACATCAACAAATAAGATTTTCATGAACCAACTGCAGGGTTTTGCCCAGGTTTTGCTTCACAAGACCCAGGCTCAAAACTAGCATGAGTTAAATACAACTCACATAGCAGTTAATGTGTTAATGGCAACATCACTGAATGATTATAATTTACTACTGGGTACCAGGCAATATTCTAGGTAGTTGACATTTATTATCTCTAATCCTCACAAGGACCTTGCAAATAATTATTTTACAGATGAAGAAAACAAGACATAAAGATTTTAATAGCTTTCTCAAGTGTACCCAGCCAATAAATAGTAGATGTGGATTTGAATCCAAAATGCAGGCTCTGCACAATGTAACTTGCTATGTAGCTTGGAATCATCCTCACTTTCTTTGTTCCCTCTCCCTCGCAGCCAGAGCCATTCGTGGCCCCACCACCACCACTTCTATGAGGGCTGTGCCATCTTAAAAGGACCTCACCCAACCCACGCTCACCCTCACCAATTTTCCATTCAGGACACAAGGCTAAAACGTAAATCTGATTACAGTTATATGTCACTTAATGATGGGGATACATTCAGAGAAATGCATCATTAGGTGATTTTCATCATTATGTGAACATCATAGGGTGTACCTACCCAAACCTAGATGGTATAGCCACACAGCTAGGCTATGTGGCATAGCCTATAGTTCCTAGGTTACAAACCTGTACAACATATTTCTGTACTGAATACCTGAGGCAACTGTAACATAATTGTAAGTATTTGTGTATCTAAACAGAGAAAAGGGAATGCTTTGTACTGGGAGGGTACAATGTCACTAGATGATAGGAATTTTTCAGCTCCATTATAATCTTATGGGATCACCATTGTATACGTGACGTATTCTGTGGCTGACCGAAACATCATTTATGCAGGGCATAACTGTATGTAACTTATCTGCTTCAAAGTCTGGTGTCTGCTTATAGGATAAAGGCCTTAGTAGTAAGATCCACTATGCTTTCCGCAGTCTGACTCTAACCCATGTTTCCAGTCACATCTCCCAAAACCTGTCATATACCACTTGTCATATACCTGTATACCTTACACTGAAGACATACCAGGAAGGGACTCAACCTACCCTCTTCTGCTTAGTTGAACCCTTAATTCCTTTGCCCAGCTACCCAAGACCTTTCCAGCTCCTGTCTTCAAACCTGTCAAGCTCCAGCTTCCCTCCTCACTTTGGCAGCTGGTATCTGGAGATACACCTGCATCCTGATAATTAATACCTCGCCCTATGCACACCCCCAACTCACTTTTTGTTGTTATCATAAATCATCTGGAGTAAATGTTGTTGCCACTACCAAAAATCTTTGACTGAGATCTGGCTCAGAAGTTTCCTGTCTGACACTTTTTCTGATTTCCCCAGTTAGGGTTAGCCATTCATTCCCTTCCTCTTGCTGGGGCAGCCCTTAGACTTTCACTGTGGAGTTGATCCCACCACAGTGGCATTATTTTTGTGCATGCTACTTTCCCAACCAGGCTCCTCTGCTCACTTCCTCCAGGTGGGATCAGGCTATCTTGTTCAGATGTAGCCCAGGTATGTTGCAGAGAGCCAGAATATAGCATATGTTCCATAAAGATTTGGTTAATGAATAAATGAATGAATTATTCATCTTTATATTCCCTGGCAAAGGATGCAACACAGAGCAGAGGCACAGTGGATTTATTTGGTGATGGATGAATGGATGAAATTTCCTGATTTTGAATAAATCAATAAGTATTTGGCTTCTCTCCTTAGATTTGTAAAATTAACAACTGCTTTCTCTCTTAATCTCCGTGACCAATATCCACTCATTCATCTGTCCTCCCTCCCAACCTCCATCCCTTCAGTCTATCCGTCTAAAAACATCTTTTTAAAATCCCTTCTCAGTTATAGGCACGAACTTAAACAAACCCTAAGTTCCTACAAATGGTTAAATGACTGCTTAACACTTTTTCCACAGAAAATATTTTATTTTACCATTAGCTCTGATGTATTATCTTCTGTTCCTTGTAATTTCAAAAGCTTTCTTCTGCTTTGTCTTATCAGTATCATCAGTTATTTATTTAATAAGATTTATATTATGAATTTAAATATAAATTCTTAATATAACAGAAATATTTAAACAACAAAACACAATATTAACACAAAACTTTCAAATAAAACTTTATAAAGCTATTTTTAAATCAAAAAAATAATTTTCAATGACAGATTCATAGCATTTTCAGGCAAACTCTTTTATTCCATCATCACCTATTAACTATTTTATAATACTAAGAACTATCTAGTAATTATATACTATCATTTAGAAGTAAAAATTATGACAAAATGTGTGATATTCAAATGTAAATATTGAAAAGAGTTTGTAACCCAACACACATTCCTATAGTTCTTATTATCCTCATCATGGCTTTTGCATCAATCATGCTAATTCCCTTAATTACCTGCTGTTCATTGTATGTATTCAGTGTGAAGAGTGGCTTTTGAAGAATAAATTCTTCTTCAATTTCAATGCCCATCCTAGCTTTCGATGCCATTGTGTCTGACATCATTCTAACAGGATCAAATTGAGCGACAACAGCCACCTGAAAGAAGACAAGGCATGACTACTGGGTCAGGTACAAGCTAAATACTTCTGGACAACATTATTGGTCTCTAATGTCCATTAAAGACAAAGCCTAAGAGGAAAGGGCAGGAAGAGTATTAAAACCAGGCCAGGCCTAGAGATCTACAAAGGAGCTAAAAGAAATATAAAACCAAATATTAAAAGGCCATGGTATGTAATGATTTGCTTATGATTGAATACTTATAATTTTGATTACTTTCAAATAGTAATTTATCTTTCTGATATGAAGTCACAGGAAATCCTATCATAGAAAACCTACATATTGAACCACCTTGAAAGTCACCAAGTTTAAAAAAAAATCATTTTTTAACCATTAACAATTTATGGTTATGGTAACAATCCCACGAAGTTTTCTAGAAAGTTTAATCTGATTGAGCTGAATCTAGAGCAGAGTGTAAAAAGGAAATCAAAATCTCAGGGCTACCCCTCAACTCCTATGCAAAAGAGAAAGTAAAAGCCTCAAACACCTGTGAAGAACTGGCCCACAGATCATTCATGAAGGAAATTCCTTGCTAAACTCCCGTAAGCATAGACATGCAAATTGTGCCTGGGTCTAGCACCCAAAACTAAAGCCTGCCTGATTCCACACTAGTAATGAATTACAAGTTTATCTAACATGTAAGGGAACTACAAACAAGACAGAATCAGACAGTCTCCCATCTACCCAGGGACATCTACATAACTGATGCTTCCTTCACTCCCTTATTTTATGTAAAATGTAGATTTCTTGGGCCTCACCAGAATGTAATCACTTTGCCTCATCAGCACCAACCCCCCACCCGCACCACCAACACCTTTTTCCTCTCTCTGTATGCCTTTAAAATGCTAAAGGTTCCAACTTCCCCTTCGGAAAAATAGCCACAGTTTGTCTGTGGTTGGTGTTTTTCCCAGATGCATCCTCAAAATCTTGGGTTAATAAACCTCTATTGATTGAAATTTTTGCCTCAGTCATTTACTTTGGTCGACAACAGCATTCATGGGTAAAGTTGAGAATGTTGGCAAAATTGGGCAAGATGGGTGAATTTCCATTGCACCAGGCAACTAGATTCCCAAGGACTACTATAAACTATTGTTCACCCTTCTATTGAAAAACTGCAGTCATTTTAACCCAAATGCCCTTGTCCTTTATGATAATTCAAACCTACATCTTAATGAAAAGAAGGCACTAATTTTGTAAATAATACGCACCATTAGTAACACCTGCCTGTTAATTTCCAAAGTCAAGAATCAGCATGAAGAAAATGGCATTTTTAATGCCATTTAGAAACTGTAATGAAATAACTAAGGGTTGAACATACTTTAATTATTATAGGTTTCCTAGCTAAGGTATCTTATACTATAGTTCTAAACACTGATTACAGATAACAAGTGCAGCTATTTCCTCTTTCCAAGCATTCACAGGTGGAAGGAATTCTAATTATATAGAGTGTAGTTATCAAAGTTCTATTTTGAACAAGAATGTGTTTAATAATAGTGGCAAGTCTTGTCCCCAGAAGGCCATGGTATATAATTATTTGCTAATAATTGAATAATTTAAATTTTGTAGGCTCTAGGAATAAGTTAAATTTTGCAGGATCTAAAATAAACAGGACTTACATTCCTATGCTTTAAATTTATCTCTAGCCTATTTTATCAAAGAAGATGATGATAGAGTAGTTGTATGCATTTGCACTGCATCTATACCGTCTCATTTAAACCAGACTTCCTTGTTTTGAATCAATATGACATTTACTAGCTGTGTGACTTTGGGGAAAACACCTAACCTCTGTGCCTCCTCTGTTTCCTCTTCCATAAAATGGGGATGTTAATAATACCTACATCATAGAGTTGTTGTAGAGATTAAACAAAGTAATACCTAAGAGCATTTAGAAGAGGGCTTTTCACTTAGTAAATACTCAGTAAGTTTGAACTCATGTTACCACAAACCTATAAGCTGGTACCATTGTTATTATTCCCATTTTTCAGACAAGGAAATAAAGGTTAGAGAGGTCAAGTAAACGACCTACGTTTCCAGTGTCAGTGAGTACAAATCCAGGTTGTAGCAGGTTTGAAGGACACTGGAGGCCAAGTTCTTATCCATGACTCTCAGGGACATAGGAGGGAAGTTAGACAGTTGTTTCCTATTAGCTGAGACATGATGTCAATGAAGATTGTGAGCTTGTGAGCTGAACCAATACCACTGAGTTCAAAACTCTGAACAATTAATTACCAAGTATAACTATTTCATCACACTTTCCAAGTTCTTAAATTCCTGCTGTTGCCATCTACGGTCTACTTTCGTCTACTTTTGCCTACTTTTACTGGACAAGGCAATGGGAGGCTTTTATTTCTCCACAAAAACAGTATTTTTAAAAAAGTAGTTTTGAACATATTTGTTGACTGTGGAATATTTCCAAACATAGGTTCCTACTTCGAAGATAATTATCTTGCTTGAGCTCCACCAGGATTTTTGAGGACAGTAAAATCCTTTGACTAGATGCGGAGTTTCATTGTTGTAACTGGATACTATTCAGCTAATAAACTGGAGGTGATATGGATGCAGTTAAATCTTGGGAGAGCTTTTTAAAAGGTGCTGATAGAGTTCTTTTAATAAATTGAGAAACTGGAAATGTTTCAATATAATCTAATTGCTCCCAGGAATGAACATCAGTGTCCCAATCTGGGAAAGTTACACTTTATATAGCAGATGTCATGAACTAAGCCCCAGAAATAATGTTATTAAGAGCACTTAGAAACATTTTTTTAAAACCACCCATGAAAATTTCCAAATTAAAAACACCTGTTTCCTAAGGGCTTCCAGCCGATGTGTTCTCTCTTCATCTTCATGCACTTCTTGAAGGGCCGCTTCTTTTTTCTCTATCAGGCGCTTTTCCAATAATTCTTGTCTATATTTAACCCTTTAACAAAAACACACAGGGAAGTTGGAAAAGTATCATGATAGCCTTGTTGACAATATGGATAACAGTATAGGAGCAGAGAGCACCTCAGAGGTGATATCACTATCACATTTTGTTTTTACTTACTTTTGGTTGATTTCTCATATCCAAACAATAAAAGACACTGTATAAAATGCAACTCACAGTAATTCTAATAACAACCAAAGACATACAGGAAAGCGTGGGGGTAAAATTCAGTTCATCTCATTCCTCATTGAAATCACTTTATTGACTCTCAAAGTTTCTGTTGGCTGCCACAGCTGCAGCTAATCTTAAATTACTTCACTTCCTAGACCTTAAACTAAACTTTAGATATAGTCACTTATATTGTCACTTTCTGAGTGGGTGTGTGCGCATGTTAAGAAACTAAAAATTGCACTTTGACATCTGTAGATGGCAGCAAAAACATGACTTTCCCTTAGCATTTATTTCCATCCCCCTTAAAATCATCAGACATTAAAACAGGGTACAGTTAAATACCAAGCTCATTTAACTCTCCTCTACTTCCCTTTTTTGGGCAGCCTCCCTTCCCATCTTCCTGCCCAAGCTATTCTCCTATTGAGTTATAGAGATGGAATTCGTGTTTTCAGAAGGGTAGGCACCTGGGTTCTCAGGGGAGTATGAGCTCATTGCCTCCATCTGCCACCATTGATGATTTAAATTTAACTTTCTTTGTGACATCAGTCACAAACGTCCTTTGCCCTTAATGGGCACACCTGCATTTTCCATGGAGGTACCTTCACTAGACCCTTCATATTCTGCATTCTGACATTTACTGAGTGTTCACTGTGTATCAGCTCTTGAGCTAAGTGCTTTATAGATTACAGCTCATTTAGAATTCACAACAGTCATATGTTGGGGTAATATTTTTATTCCATTTTATAGATAAAGAAATAAAGGCATAGACATGTGATGCATTAATAACTTGTTCAAAGTCTCACGCCCAGTAAGTGGCAGCGCCAGAATTCAAACCCAGGACAACTGGCCTCAGGGCCCATGCCCATCCCTCTCCCTCCCACCCCGCCCCATGCAATTAACCACTGTGCGCACTCTCTCTTCTTCCCTGCATCTCTCCACCCACCTCACTGACATCTGAATACCTACTGTGTGCCAGATCCCGTGCGAAAAAGGGTGGGCACACTGAGCAAAAGACTCTGCTCTCGAGTTTATTGATTAACACAGAGATGGGAAGACATACCTGTGAACTAGAAAAGGCATCTTAAGGTGCCTTAAGAGGGACACAAATAAGGTCCACTGAGTATCTGGTGAAAGGGGAGATGATCACTTGCTGGGTTGTGGGAGGGTTGGGTAAAACTCAGCAAGAGCTTTATGAGCTGAGTCTCACGGATTAGTTTTTGGTGAGCAAGGAGGAATTACTGAGCCTGGTAGTCACGGGGTTTCCATAGGAAGATAGGATCCTAGGGAGGAATACCCTAATAAGGGTATTGCTCATGAGGCTGGCATTAAAGGAAAAGCACAGAGAGAGGAAAGTGTTGCTGCCCAACCAGGTTGTATTGCCTACTACACAGAGAAGAGCCAAGATACTGAGGCAGTCAGGGTTGCAACGGAAAAATGATTTAATACCGCAGAGTGCTAAGCAGGGAAATGGGAGGAATTTCTCAAATCCGCCTCCTGGAGAATTTGGGAGATGGGGTTTTTAAAGATAATTGGGTGGGCAAAGGATTAGACAATTGGATTTGCTAATTGGTTAAGTTGGAGCAAAATTATAGGGGTGTAGAAATCATTTTCTGGTATTGAGTCAGTTCCTGGTTTGGGGTCACAATTCCAGTTGAGTCAGTTTCATGGGATGGGCCGCTGGTCTGGGTGGTTCAGCCAATCCCCCGGAATGCAGAGCCTGGAAGATATCTCAGAAACTACCTTTAGGTTTCGAAAAGGTGACGTTATCTACGGAGAAAGTTAAGCATCTTTATGATCACCAGCTATGTGACCCAAGAGCAGCAATTATAGAGAAGCAAACCGGGGGACAGTGGCTGATTATTATCATTATTTTTAGCTAGGTCTGTGCCTTTGAAGAGTTTTAGGCCCTTACCACAGTTCTCACCTTGCACCCCTTTGTTGATTCGTAAAGGGCAGGTTCAAAAGGAGGGAAGTATCTATAGATCCTTGTGGGATACAAAACCTAGAATGGGATTTAGAAGGAAAATCCTAAAGTCCTTTGATGGACATGGGTGTTCACCCCAAAATCAGGAGTCAGTGCAGTCAATACACATGACTAAAGAGCCTGCAGACCAGAATGCTCCCTTTCTCTCATGCCTTCATGTCATGGAAAGCTACATTTCTCATTCTCTCCACTTTCACTAAGTCATGACACAACCTCCCTAATGAGGTTCTACTCAATTTAAGCACTGAGCACAAGCTAAATGAACTACTGCGAAGGTTCAATTAAAAGATACCCTGGGATTTGACAATTACCATATGCTAATTCTCAGAACCTTTGGAAAGTTTCCCTTCCTTTGGGATATATAGGTTGCTTCGTCTGCAACAAAGTTTTTGTCTACTTGTGGAAAAGTAATAGTTGTTACAGTCAGGGGAGCTTGACTAGTGAGGAAGAAATTGCAAATGAGAGTAAGGCATTTGTACCTGTGTGATGAAGAGGGCTGACTCATCGTTTACTTTGAGGCTCGTTTGTTCACATAACGTATTTATTGAGCACCTGCCATCCATCAAGCACCGTGCTAGGCACTGGCGGTACAATGTCAACACGGGAGACATGCTTCTGTCCTTGCAGAACTGACAGTCTAATGGGGATACAAAGACCCAGGCAATGGTGATACAGGGTGGCTTGTGCTCTGATGGCACAATGGGGCAGAGGCCATGGGAGAGGTACCTTTTCCAGACTTGGGGTTATTGGGGGGATACCTGAAAGGAAGTGCTCTGAATTTAAGATCTGAAAAAGGAGCCGGAATTCACCAGAAGGGGAGAGAATAGAAAGAATATTCCAGACAGAAAAAAAAAAAATTGCATACGAAGGCCAAGAGGTGAGAGAGCACAGTATGTTTGAAGAACTGAAAGATATTTAGTATAAGCGAAAATGAACAACACAAGGCAGGGAGTGCCCAGAACTGAGGCTGGAGAAGCAAAAGAGCTGGATTGTGGGGACTCTGCAAGCATGAGGCCTTTTGATCAGGAGAAATCCCTGCTTGGCGTGGTGGAGGATGCACTGCGTGGAGCCAAGCCCCCAGAGGGAATCCAGATAGGCATGGATGGCCTCCCGGTCTGGGGAATGGGGGAGGCACTGGTAGGAGAGCTGGAGAAGACACGAATTTAAGGATATGTAGAAAATAAATAAATAGTAAGTGTTAGTTTATTTTATGGGAGAAAGGAAAGAGAGAGGAAGAATTTAAGATTTCTTTTTGTCTTGCACAGTGAACAATGGCGTTCCTCCCTAAGACTGGGAACTTAAAAGAGAAGCAGGGAAGAGAAGGAACTAGGTTCACTTTGGACATAGACCTGTGTTCACAAGATCTGGGCCAGAGGAATAGACAGGGAATCTTTATCAATAGAATGGAATTGAAGCCTCAGGGGCAGATGCCATCCTCCAGGACAAGAGTGTAGAGTAAGAAGAGAAGTAGGCCTAGGGTTGATTCCCAAGGAAACAACACTTAAGAAAGAGACAGGAGAGGAAACTATTTAGGGAATGTGGAGGATAAATGGTCCTAAGGAGCTAAGGAAAATGGGATCTACAGTGTCAAATGATACAGGAAGATCAATTATAGTGCAAAATAATTATTGGATTAAACAACAGGGAGTCATTGGTGATCTTGGCAAGAACAGTCAGTGGGAGGTGGCTGAAGAAGTAGGGGGAGGAAGGGCGGTGAGAGAGGGAGTGGAGATAAGCCCTGCAGCAAGACTGATGCCAGTGGAGGAGAGAGACAGGGTGGAGCGAAGGGTTGCACAGAGCTGATCACAGTTGCATTGGCTCCAAAGTGATGGTCAAGGTCACTCTGACTGCCTTACAGACCTGCCATGGGAAAATTCAAGGACACAGGAGACACACTCAAATTCTTCATTTTTACAGATGCTATGGTTTAAACTCAAATAATCCTTCACTTACAAAGGGGAAACTCTTGGTGCTTCTTTCTTCTACTCTGGACAGAAAATTGTCTTTGCCTAAAGAGAAGTGATGCAGAAAAACTCCTGGGAGGAAGCCAGATACTCACATATTCATGGGGAAAGAAAATAGCAACACAGTAAAGTCAATCATTTAGAAAATTTTCCACATAAATACTTTTAGCCATTTGAGGTAGCAGATTTTCCCCAAATTAAACTGTTGCTATGAAAGTCAATGTCAGGAAGTGGCTAAACTCAATAGTTTTTAAGTTGTGCACTGAATTCTCAAACAGGAACCTTGGATTCATTTCTCAGTCTATTATATGCTCCCTGAATCTACAAAGGTTGAAAGTGCTGCAAAAGAGGCATTTTCAAGTTCTCTTGGGGAGGAGAAGCATCATACTGTTCAAAAGCAACAGCTGCTGCAGAATCAGGCACAGCATTAACAATAATCTGAAAGGATTTTATTTAAGCCTCAAGGCCTGAGTGTAGCTGAAGGGACAGTAAGCTTTCATGTAGAAATGGAGAACTTATGTATCATTTATGAGACTTTTTATGTGTGCACTGCACTCTAAGAACTGCATACACAAATGTAAATGTTTGGAAACACCTTGATCTGTAGTAACAGCCTCTCGTGGCTTCAGCGAAACTTCAGTAAGAAGTAGGCAAAATATTAAGTGCCAAATCTTGACCTTCATCCCATCTGGAGTCACAGGTAACTTCGTTCTGAAAAAGAAGCTACAGCAACTAAGGGGGGAAGAAAAGACTTATGAAGAATGGCCAGTGATGGCAAGTTCTAGAATTAAAAAAAAAAAGAAAAGAAAGAAAAAAATCCCAAACTCAAGCAATAAACAAAACAAAGCATAAAGATGTGTCTTAATTAGGGTACT